CAGCAGGCCTGACATGCTACCACCTGGTGACCGGAACCTGGTACTACAACCACAATGTTTGAATAAGTGATTATTAATCCCAGCTAATATTTCAGGTAACTTTGAGAATATTTCATAGCTGCTGGTTGATCCTAAACTCACCTGATCAGGTTTAACACGAGACAATTTAAAGTGTTGCAAACATTTAAACTTAAATTCAGCTGATATTCTGGACGATTGATTCAACATTTTTAATGTAACTTCACTGCTGTTTGGTTGGGTCACATCACTGGTTCTGGAGATGAACCAATGATGGACTTTGTCCTGGTGCAATCAGCCACCAGGGGGAGACAAAACCTCCACCAACAGAAACAGTTTGTCTCAGAAGCTCTGCTTCGTTTCTCACAGCAGAAGTGAAATTCTCTAAAACTTGTTTAATATTTAAATCATTGTGTCACTGATGTTCAGCTACAATCAGCTTCCTGCTACTTTCAACAAGTTAAAATGCTTTTGTACATCATCAGGTGATTATCTACAATTCTCTGTTTTTTCATGCATTTTCAGTTGTTTCATGGAGACTAAAATATATTAAACAGGTTTCTGTTGAAATATGTTGACCTGCAGGACATTTAAGTATAATTTCATTGTTTAATCTTAAATGCTTTCTATACATTTGTATTAAATGTTTATCAAAATCCATCCTGAACTGATCAACGTCTCCCAGGTGAATCCTGAGTTTCTCTGATGCAGGTAAATGTGTGAACCATTAGATAAACCAGTTTCCTGAAATAGACTGAAGGCTCATCATATACCTGATTAACTAGCAGGTTTATAGTCTATATAACCAGAGAACAACATGATGTTACATTTCTGATGAAGGTTTGGACGAGTCAACAGCCAGAGGGAGGAAGAGGAGTGAGAATGAGGAGGAAGAGTCAGGAGAGTCAGAGGACATGATGCCGTTTCCATCAGTCCATCAGCAGGAAGCTGGTGGACTTCATCTCATGTTGCTGCTTTTCTTTATGCTCTGCTTCCTGTATCATGACATCATCTCTTAACAAATCAGTAAAATCATAAATGTGAATCTTGTCCAGTTTCTGACTATTGATCTCTACAATTTACAACAGTAGTTATCAAACCTGTTCATCAGATTATTCCTCCAGAGTCTCTGTTTAATGTCTGATCTGAACTCAATGAAACAAGAATTTATCACTCTGAGGAAACAACATGTTCACTGATACGGATGTTTAACTTGGACAGATGAAGGATTTAGAGAAAGAAACTGGATTCTGCAGGTTATTCATGCTGTTTTGATGCATGGATTGATTTAAAAATGCACCAACTGTT